CTACAGGACCATGCACGTAAAACAAATATCCCCGTTAAATTAGAAGGCTCTAATCAGCTTGATCCCCAGCATTTTACCAACGACGTCGAAATCTCTCCTTTTATTTGTTACTGCGCGTGACATAAGAGTGCGTTGAAAATGAATTTTAAATCTTTAACTTACACAAGAAAATAGAGCATCCTTGTGAAACTTTAACTTTCTAACTTTTCTGATTCCAGAAATTGCTGTCCCGCTAAAAAATTTACAAATTTTTTTAGCCGCCAGTACGTGGCATCCATAAGTACCAGAATGATAATATTATAATGGGAAAGTCACAAATTCACACACAAGGTCTCGACAATATGCGTTTTGCATCTCCATTGCAGAGCAAAGGCAGAATTAAAGATCAAATTGGAGTGTGTCAATAATGAATCCAGGCTAGAACGCACAGGCGAGCCCGTGCGATCATGCGTTTTTGCACAGTTTCTTGCGGATTTTTAGTGCTACGGTGCTATCTGGCCGCAGTGCTTTGCAAAGCTCTGTATATTGTGATATACAATCTAAACAGCGAAGCGCTCTGCTCGGAGAAATTTGAAGTTGGGCTGAAGTAAGCAGTGCTCCTGTCGCCTCAGTTCAACTCGCAACGGATCATTTGGATGAGGCTGGCGAGGCGTGGTGAATGTGTCAATTATATACAACCCGGAAAGTGACGTAAACCTGGACAGCGCTACGTACAGCAAATTCCGAGTTCTTAGTTTAGATTAATTTAAAAAATAATTGGCCAACGCACGGGCTGCCCGCGCAAAGATGCATTTTTTACACAGTTTCCCGCAGTTTTTGTCGCTACCAGCACCGGTTTTTCCGCAAATGCTACCTAAGCAAATTAAGATTGGCCGCCAGAACTATCAAGAAACACCCCTCAAAATTTCAGCTTTCTAGCTTTCCTGGCTCCTGAGTTAGCAACTTACTCGAAAAAGACTTTCATGGGCCCATACGTAAGTATCAAGCATGCTCGATGCCTGGGTTTGAGCTCGTTGAGACTTGCGTGAACGGGGAACATCCCCTTAAAATTGCTTTTCAGGTCTTCCAGATTTTCAGGTTCTCGAATTAGCGACTTGCCCATGAAAAAATTTCACGGGCCCGCACGTGGGTGCCACGCATGCCCGGGAATTGATTTGAAGCTCATTAAGACTTACTTGGGCAGGGAACGTCTCTATAAAATTTCAGCCGTCTAGCTTTTCTGATTCCCGATTTAGCGACTTACCCGCGAAAAACTTTCACGGACCTGCACGTGGGTACCAAGCAGGTAAGAGCGCCCATTCCGGAGGTGCGAGCCGTACTCGCATGCAGATTAAGTTCCCCAAGTTTCAGTCCCGTAGCTTTTGTGGGTCTCGAGATGAAAAATCGGTACAGACGTGCAGCGCACACAGACATACACACAAACACACATAGAGACGGCCTCTCGTCAATGTGTGTTTTCTGTATCGCGTATCTGCAAAAAACGCATAAAAAAGAAAATCAGCTGCGCGTATGAAGTTTACGAGCTTAATGCATACACGCAGTTGTATGTGCGATAAATTCTCGGCATTCCAAATGCCGGGGAATATCCCGACTTACTCCTCATATGCAAAGCATGCATGCGTGGCGGCGTACTGCAGAGCAGTGTTCGGTCGATCAATGCGTTCCCTCCACGTGGACACATTTACGTTTACTGTGCACGCCTATGCGCTTGTATTCGTTTATTCGGCTTGAACAGAGTCTTCGTCGTGAAGAGTGCTGCTGGACGCATTGCGGTGAAGCGTGGTGCAAGTCACGAGAGCGGGGGCTTGCTTTTCTAGCTTTTTAGATTTTCTAGCTTTTCTCCCGCTCCTGGTGCCTATGACTATTACGAACATCTGGCACAGCAGAAACAGCTTGCGATATGCTAATGTTGTATTTCCAGATACACTATGCTTTGACCTTTTTGGCATGCAAGGGAAAAGACGTTGGTTGGGATGAAGGTATTGCATTATAGGGCCGCATGGACCACGAGGTGCATGATTACCAGTTTTTTACATGAAGCTCGGTCGTTTTTTTGGCAAAAGCTCGCTTTTTGAAAAATTGAAAAAGCAAATTTTTTGAAAAAATGCAAATTTCCAGTTCACTAAAAAGCGGAAGTATTGCTCAAACGGTCGTTTGTGAAAAAATCCACGTATGCAAATGAACTAATGTTCATTTATATATTTGGATGAGGGCGGCCGTTCGCTGCAAAACGCACTCGTTTCTGATTTTTCGATAAAGTTTAGTGTTTCTAACGCTTACCGGGAGGTAATCTCACCTCCAAGCAGAATTAAGACCGTACTTGAAATTAGGATATCCCAGCAAATTTCTAGCCTCGCAGCTTACCCGGTAAGCGGAATATCCACTTCGCTATAAATATCTTTGAAGTGCCCTAATCGTGGCACAAGTGCAAATAAATACTCATTTTAGGTATTCGATTTCCCATGTGGGAGACAAACATCCTGATAAAATTTCAGCCACTGTTTTCGGGCAAGTTTACAAGTTA